AGAGGGGGGGTTCATCCTGATGGCATCCCCACACAGCTTGACATCACTCTTTTCTGTTGACACATACAACATGTCCATGAAAACAACACCTTACTGACAGTGTTCTTTGTGGCAGAAACAGCGACTTGTTATGTAATGGTTCTGGTGAATCCAGCAAATAAAACTGCTGTCATTTGTTATTACAGTTAGGGGGAGGGGGGAGATGTAAGGGAGGAGGAGGAGGAGGAGGAGGAGGTGCAGGTGATGGTGGGGGTGAGGGAGAACTTCAGGATCACTGGGTGATCTGAGCGAGCTCACGGCTGAACGCTGTGATTCCTCCAGTCTCTCAGTTACATGTTGGCAGTGACGCCACGGAGACATAACCTGTAAGTGGCCTGAATGAAGGTTCATCATTCCTGCCTCCTACACTCACTCACCCACACACACACACTCTCACTCTCCCACTCACACACACCCTTCCTGGTGCCGTGAGAGGAGCTGGATTCAGAGCTGGTGCTGCAGTGATGTCCAGATCCTGCGTTCTGCCGTTGGACTCGGCTGCGGGGGCTTCTCTGCGTCTCTGTGTTCAAACCTTTAACTATTTTTGGCTGCCGTATGCTTGTGCCCAGATAACACAAATGGGATAGTGACTATGACAACAGCCAGCACTCAGATAAATACTGCACTCACTGCACCTTCCATTCATTCATGTCTGTGTGCACACACCCTGACATTTCCTTTCAAAACCTGCACTGAGATCTCAGACGTGGACCAATGGGAGATATTCTTCATCATTTGTAGCGTTCATTAAAGCATCTCCACACACACACACACACACACACAGACGTGTGGCCTTTGATGGTGTGTGTGTTGGTTTGTCGTGTGTGGCGCTCGGTTGCAGAGGAACATCTCAGAGATGCTGGGATCTTTGACGCTCACATTCGTCTCCTCGCTGCTGCGACTCCACAGCAGATTGCTCGCCCACTGAAATGCCTTATTTGGACGGTTTCCAGTAAAAAGCTCAAAGCCCTCGATGTGAGAAGAAGAATGTGGCAGCGGCCCCCGGAGAGTTCTGTTGGACTGGATACAGACAGGTTCTACAGAGAGAGAGAGAGAGAGAGAGAGAGAGAGATGAAGGTTTGGTTAAGGCGCACTAACTTAGTAACTTAGTAACCAGTCTCTGTAAACACGTGACACAGGTTCAAAACACTGGTTCCTTCTTCATATCACACCAATGATCTCCCACCAGTGAGTAGGTTGGAGT